CTTAAGTGCATGTTTGGGAGACTGTTCCTTCAAACAGCAAAGGTCTCTCCTCCTCTGCTTTCTCTCAACTATTTTTAAATAAACACAAAACTCCCATTTGTACCAAAATGAGAGGCATTGTGTTTAATGGAGTGAACCTTCAGGCCAGTCTGAAAATAAAAGGTGAAATAGATTCTTCCAAGTTTACTTACAGTCTCTTAAAATGCCAGCGCCCTCCCCACCTGGTCAGTTACTGCTATCCATAAGGAGTGATGAGATTATCATTTTTTATGTTTTCACTATTAATTCTAAAGGTCAGCAAAACATATTCACTCTTCTGTAATAACATAGTGCTTGAAAGCTGAGAAACAATAGCAGGTCCAAGTTACATGTGCAACAAACAACCATCCTGCAGAAATCAGGGTTTTCACACTTTCAGTAAGTGCCTCCGGTTCTGACTCCTGATTGGAAGTTCTGGAAGGTGACAGGAGTCAAGGCGCGCCTGCCTGGCCTAGAAAATGGTCATGTGACGTCCCCATGTGCTGACTCAGGGGAAGCACATGCAGCTGTAGAGCTGCAGGGAACTCGGAGGAAAGGGACTTCAGTGAATGTCATTATTGCATTATTTTCAGACCCACCTCTGCTTTGTGACCACTCATTTCATCTGTAATTTAAAGCTTAAACAAACAAGACATTATTGAAATGCCCATTTTTAATTTGCTGAGAGAAAAGTCAATGTTTATTGTGAGAGAATATGGCTCAAATACAAGACCTGTCCATTGGGAAGAAGGAACAGTTCACAGGCATGACTGCAGAACACATGAAAAATTAGTGCATTTTTATAAAACTTGATCCTTAACTGCCTTCCTGCCTAAGGTCTAAAGCACTTTTCCTTACTGTATGTGTGTGTGTGTGTGTGTGTGTGTGCGTCTGAACCAGAGTCCCCTCCACTCAGCGGCACCAGCGCCCCCAGGACACTGTCAGGCAGACGTACCCCACACACACTGCCCACCACACAGAAGACCCCACATTCTCACACGGCTTTCGGGCGTCTCTGGGAAGTGACTGGTGAGGCTAGGTTTACACCAAAGAACCTTCAGGATTGGCAGAGATTTGAGGAAAGCCTCCAACGCAAGAGGCAGAAAACAATCAGAAAAGGGGGACTCAGAAGAAACAGAGGCAGTTCAGAGACACCTGAGGGTGATGGTGGACTTAAACACGGGCTCGGCAGGTGAGCCCAGGGGAACCAGATGCTGCGCCCGTGAAGTTAGAACAGGACTGGCGGTGGGGGTGGGGAGGAAGGTGGTTAGAGAACCAGAAAGAACTCTTAGATATTAACACATGATCATAGAACTAAAAAATTTTTAAACCAAGGAAATCTTCCAGAAATGTCTTTTTTAAAAATTTTTTTTTATTGATTGTACTTCTCTGCTTCAGAATTTATTCTTGGTTTCTGTCTTATTTTATTTTATTTGGGGGGGACAGTGGGAGGTACTTAGGTTTATTCATTTATTTATTTTTAAAGGAGGGGCTGGGGATTGAACCCAGGACCTCGTGCACGCTAAGCATGCAGCTCTACCACTTGAGCTAAACCCTCCCCCGCTTCTAGACATTTCAGCAAAAGGCAAAGAGAGAAGACATGGAAGGGAAAAGTGGAGCAGATCAGCAGAAGAGGTCCAGCGTCCAGCTCACAGCAATTCCAGACAGGGAAGAGAGAGAGGGTGGAGGGACGGGAAGGTGGGGGACTCTGCACGTCAGAGCGCAGGGAGACTCCCGGGACTGGGTTACGGCACAGGCCACGTGGATAAAGTGAGAATTAGTAAGAGAACGAAAACAGGGGGACAAGGGGATAAACCCCCTTGTCTTCTCACCCCTCATCTCCCGGCCCTGGTGCGGGCACCCTCACTGACACCCCCCAGTATGATTTCATTTCTCTTGGGTCAATAACTCGGAGTGGAATTGCTAAACTGTAGGGGAGACGGATGTTTAACTTTAAAAGATGCTGACAAACAATTCTCCAGAGAAGCTCCACCACTTCGATCTCCCACTAATGCCACACACTCACACACACACATACACACGCATACATATACACATGTATACACACATGCACACATACACCCATACATATGCACATATACACATACACACATACACACATGCACATGCACCCATACACACATACACACACGCATGCACAATACACCCATACATACACACATACACATGTACACACATACACAACTACACATACACACATGCACACACGCACACATACACATAACACACATGCACACAGCCATACACATACATACACACACGCACACACCCATCCATATGTACACACATACACATGTACGCATATAGACATACATGTTATTATTTTATATGTATACATATATGTATGTCTTAACAAAATTAATAGACTTGGGTGTTTAGAGTAGTTTCGGGTCTGCGGAAACATTACAGATGGTGCAGAATTCTCCACCCACCCCCGCCCCTGCACCCCCACTGTCTCCCCTCTTATCAACATCAGTATTACTGTGGTGCTTTGTTACAATTTATGACCCAATAGTGGTAAGTTCGTCTTGTATAATAATCTAATTAAATTTTAATAATTTTAATTAACACTAAAGAAAACTCATGTTAACATTTCAGTGGGGAGGGTAGAGCACGTGCTCAGCCTGCACGAGGTCCTGGGTTCAGTCCCCAGCACCTCCATCAAAAAACGTAAGTACACCTGAGTACCTCCCTCCAAAATAAAAAAAATTTAAAAATACTTTAAGAACATTTAAATTAACTACACATTTAAAATACATGAATGATTTTTTTTTAAAAGCCTCCCATTTTCCCACATTTTTGGGTCAATTTTAGATCCCTTCACTTTCTGGGGAGATCGTTTGTTTCCGTCACTGGCGTGTGTCCACGTACAACTCGGCAGTGTGCAGAAAGGGCAGAGGTGCGCGCGAGGGAGGGGAGCCGAGCACGTCCTAACTCAGTAAACGCCGCCGCCCCGGAGCCCGGGGGAGGCGGCATGACCCGGCTGCCACTTCCCTGAGAGCCTGGCCCACCCCAGGGTTAGCGTTCAAGGAGAGGTCCCTGACATGAAAGGCTTGAAAGCCAACGGGTTCTCAAAGCTCCCCGTGGAGATTCTTTTGGATTCAGTACATCACAAACTACCCGTTGCTTCAGGCTGCTAAGAAGACTCTCGCTGCAGTTATGGTCACGGCACGTACCACGGGTGTGCCTTCCGGCTTGTCACTCGTGTTCCCTGAGCACAACCAGCCTCGTG